TTCAAATGTTTTAATTTTTTTGTCTCTTTTCTTTACTTCAATAATGTGAGATCGATGTCGAATTAAAGATATATAGCTTAATTAAGAAAATGAAAAATTACCTGAAAAAGATGGCGAGAACGAAAGTGAAAGCTGGAATGAGGTTGCTAATGGCAGATGAAAGATTTGGCGAGCTGTATTCCAATCCTTTATTCCCAAACAACTGGCACGAAAGCCTTCACAATGTTCATAATATGATAACATTACAAACAATTAGGCCGTTATTTTTTTAATTTAGTCTCATCAAATTAATTTAAACTTTTCGTCTATAAATGTTAAATTTGGACCATGATATTAATGGGGATGATGAATTAGAGTTGACCATAGGAAAAGAAACTTTTTTACAATGACCTAAAGTTTCTTCTAAATTTCAGATTATCATAATGCATATTTAATTATCATAAACTGAAAATTTGCATAATTGAAAAATATTAGACACGGGATTAAATTTAAAATTTTTAGTTAAATTACAAGTTTATTCTTGGAAATTTTAGATTTGGATCTAGTCTTTAAAAGGTTGTGTTATGAATCTTCAACTTTTGATCTTGTGTATAATAAGGTTCCTCCCATTTTAAAAGTTTTTAAATAGATTTTTCAACTTTTAATTGATGTGTCTAATATATTACTAACCTATCCATCAACATTTTTTAAATTAACCTATCTATTTCATAAAATTGATTAGAATTCAAAACTTTTAATTTTGTGTCTAAAAAATTTATATATTTAAAAGTCAAATAGGTTAAGGAAATTGTTGGCACAAAATTGAGAGTTAAAAAAGAGATTTATTAGTCAAATTCAACGATTTGAAAACTATTTGATACATTTTAAGATTCAGAAACCTATTTTTCATACTAAATTTGTAATTTAACCAAAATTTAAACTAATTAAGATTAAATAAAAAAACATCAAAATATTGGGGACTAAATCATGAATTTAGCTAAAGGAGGAGTGTTATTGGTTCTACCCGAGCGCAGAGAGGCAGACGATTTTGAAGAAGAAGGAAATCTTGTGGGGAGGAAGCTTCGGCGACGGCGATCTGCAGAGAGAGAGATCAGGAACGTAGAATTCGGTTCTAACAATGGGATCCGATCAAGATTCGATGAACCGAAAAAACCATGATAAGGGTATGGAATCTATAAATCTTGAGAGAGATCAGATCAGGATATTGTAAGTAAACCTGCGGCGGAAGATGAGGGCGACAGGGAGGAGGGCGGCGGCGGCGACGACGGCAACGTAGAGGGTGAAGACGTAGTAGGTGATGCCGGCGGCGGTGGCAGCTTTGAAGCCGGTGTTTGATCCCACGGTGGCGCACTCCGCCGCCACCATGCCGGCGAATGGCACCACATCTTTGTAAATCCACCTCTCAACCATTTTTCTTTCTCTCTCCAAGTTTTCATCTTCTTTTTTCGTCTCTTATGGGGTATGGTGCTGTGGGTCAACTTTGGTCGGAATTTAAGGAAGAAAAAAAATATATATATATATATATATATATATATATATATATTAAATTAAAATATTAAAATGCTACACTCTCGAAAAAAAGAATTTTTGACCATTACGTCCCTTTGTCAATTTTTAAATTTACTAACCATGCCTTTTTTTTTTTAACAACTTTTATTAATAATTTTTAATAACTTTTATTAATAATTATGTGGATATACGAAGAGTTTGAATATGAAAAGTTTAGCTTATTTATATCTAATAATTTATGATAAATGATGGAAAGTTGGAATTTCAAAAGTTTCAACTTATCTATCCCTTTTATATATATATATAGTGTATGTATTACTTTTACCGCAACAATTTAGTTCTCCTTTTAGTCTACTTCTTTTACAAATTTAGTAGCGTCACATTGCACACTCTTCTAGAAGGTCGATGTGCAAATTTACTAAAAGAGATGGAAATAGAGTGGCAAATGATTTAGCTCGCTTAACATTGAAGAACGAAGATCATTGCATTTTGCTCGAAGATTGGCGAGAGGATATTTCTTCCCTTGTGCCAGAGGAGTTTGTTCTTCTTTATTTTTTTTATGCTTAAAAGTAGTGTCATATTGTACAATGATCCTATCACGTTGAGTATTTCGATACATAAAAGTGATAAAAGTAGTGTTGTCCTATAGTTAGACATAATTAAATCCTACAAAGTGGTATGATATCAAATATCAACAACTGTGGACAATATTAAATATTATTTTGAAATGAAACGTGTCCAAATCTTTATAAATTGTTTCATAATTAATATTCTTATTATTTTTATTTTAAAAGTGTGTGCATGGTTATAATTTTGAAGTTTCATTTTTACTAGATTTTTTTTTTATAATTCATCGGTGTAATATGATTCTTAATCAATTTTCTCTCATACTAACATCTGATATTATCTTAATTTTTTTGAGTTCTTTAGTTGAATATGACATATTTTAATAAGTATTAAATAAAAAATTAGCAAAAAAAATAATCTCTAATTTTTATAGAAATATTTTCTTCAAAAAAACAAAATTCTTTTAAGCTAATTAATCTCGGAAAAATATTTTTTTACTATTATATTCCTTTATCAAATTTCAAATTTACTGACATTTTATTTTTTTTGTATTTAATAAATTTTATTAATAATAATGTTGAAGTTAAAAATATGAAGAGCGAATATGAAAGGTTTGGCAGTGTTTGAATATGAAAGGTTTGGCTTATTTATATCTAATAATTTATAATTTTGTATTTAATTGGAATAAATAATGGAAGGTTGGAATCTCAAAAGTTCCAACTTATTTAATGTATTATAATTAATAATTAAATATACAAATGAATATAATATAAATTCGAATAACTTTTAAATGAGAAATATTAGAGTATTTATTTTCTAAAAGAATTTAATAAATTTATAATGCAATTAGACTACAAATTCAATAAAATTTTTATTAAGTAAATATAATTGTTTTTTAAAATTTAACTTTGACTAAATTAAAATTTAAATATATCATTTTATTAATGTATAAGAAAGGTTTATTAATTTATGGAATTTAAAAAGGTTGAATGAAAAATTTATTTTAAATATATCTTGAGGGCAGGGGGCCACGAGGTCCAACCTCCGAGGAGGTGGTGGCCTTCTTCTTTTTCTTTCTCCTCTTCAGAGGAGAGCCTTCTCTCACCTCACGAAGAGGTGACACGTCCAAGGCTTCGGACTCGCTCCTCGAGCGCTTCTCCCTGGAGCGCTCCCCAGTAGAATCCAACTCAATCACTGGAGTTGGAGCTGCAGAAGATGGACCAGCCTGGTCCTGAGCTGCATTCTGATCCACAACAGGTGTAGATGGATCAGAGCTCTGAACTGTCTCAAGGGCGTGAGCACGGCCCTTAGACTTGCGTTTCACGCTGCTCGTGAATCCACACACCATGGCTGCAATACGGATAAGATGAAATGTTAGAAGTAAAAACTTGAAATTAAGATTGAGGTTGAGATCGAACACGGCTTACCAAGCTCGGAGTTTGGCCTCGAAGCTTCAATCGGACGAACTAAAGGATTGTAGTCCAATAGCCCAGATTCTAGTAGCAGTTTGTCGGTGACCAAGGTCCCGATCTTCCGGCCCCTTGGGAAGTTGTCCTTGTAGAATTTGAGGGTGTCAAAAGTGGCTTGATCGAGCTCGGGAATCGGCTTGATCGATACTGCACAAAGTAAACAAAAAGTTCGAGTTAGATGCGAATATCAAGAAGCTGAAAGAAAAAAGAAAACAAGAAAGACTTCATACCTAGGTTCCCAAACCTAGCAGGCACGTCAAAGAAGGGACGACCTRACTCATCCTTTGCCAGCCACTCTCCCGAGGCAAAGAACCACTTTCCTACCCATCCCTTGATGGAGGTCGGCCCCTTGACTATGCCACCTGCGCCTTTCCTCGCACACATATAGTACCGACCTGGTTTTTTGGCTATCCTCTTAGCCTCAAAACACCCAAGGGGCTGATCAACACTTAGCAGCTCGGCCTCGTCCTCATCCCGAGCTCGCAACCAAAAAAGAATGGCTAAAGCAAAAATGACACCCCACCCATTGGGGGCCACTTGAGCAGGAGCCAGTCCAGTTCGGTTTAAGAA